AAGCCCAAAATCTGTGTAAATGTTTATGAAAATTAATAAAATATAATTATAGAAAAAAAAGATGAGAGATATATCTGATTATGAGATATTCTGCTTATAATTCATTTCAATTTGAGTATTTTTATAATTTTAAAAACAATCTCATTTAAAAACTAGTCTTTTTCTTTAGTATATTGGTATTTTCATCCTCAAATTACCTGTGTTTTTCTTCTGTGTTATTGCTATTTTTTTCACAGTCTACACTCTCCACTATGTCTACAATTTAAACACCACTAAGAAAAATATTTCAAAATCTGCTAAGTGGCTCAAATTGACAGACTTTAGGATTAATAAAGAATTTAATAAGTACATATAAGGGCTACTAATACAAATAATACTTAAAATAATTTACAATGTACAGGTAAATAATGTACAAATTAATTAAATCAAGTACAATTAATGAAAGCAATGCTACTGTACAAATAATTAAAAATAGCTGTATTTTATATCCTTAGTGTTTCTTTTTTATTATAACTCTCTTATTTTGAGAAAAGTGAAAGAAAAGATAATCCATTATAGTTTTTAAAAATATTCTTTTTTATTGTTCTTATTTATATAAAGAAAACATGTTGCATTGGAAATCAAAGGGTGACATTTGGGAATTTATTTTGCCTTGTGTACATCATTTAGTTACAGTGAAAAATCCAAATATTACAAAAAATTAAGTATGCATCTGTAAATTAAATAGTACTCATTACTTGCATTATGTTCATTATATTGTTTTGCTTTAAATCAGAGTGGAAAATACTATTCGTTAAATTGCGCAGATAGAACAATCTAAAGGGAGGTGGTTGTTATGTGCCCTTGAATTGGAGCCAATTCGTAGCTAACCCTTGGGTTTTCAGAAGTTGAAATTAGTACAGGAGGATATTGTCCATCTTTTGACACAGAACAGGTGGTAGATTTTAATAGCCTACTTTTGTATCAACAGTGCTGCTTCTTACCACTGAGCCACTAGTGCTAAAAAAATTTAAAAAGTTCATTGTTGTCATTATACTTTTATCCTTAAATTAACAGTCCAATCCCTCTTAATAGTTTCCTCTACAACCTGGCTACTTCTTTCTGTGCATTTTTCTTTTAGTGTATTTGTCAATTTGTTTCATGCCTCTCTCTCAAGTCTTCTTATTTTTTCTGTCTAACTTAGTCTGTTTGGTTTTTTTTTCTGTTACAAACATATACCGTATTTAAATTTGGCTTTTAGAATGAAATGACAACTCCAATAAATCCTTGAATCAAAATCTAATTGGTATTTATGAATCAGAAAAAGTAATCTGGAAATACTTTATGGGAAAATATGTTATCTATATATATATATACACACACACACACATACATATACATATAAAAACACACATGAAATACATATCTAGGAAAACAGCTTACAAGGAGCTAGTTTCAGGAACTAAATATAAGGAAAGATAATGTGCTGTTTCTTATGATTCCCTCTATCACTGTTTTCAAAGAAATGTACTGAAACCACTAAAACTACTCCCAGTTGAAGGCTGCCATATATCTCCTTCAGAGCAGTAAGTTTGTTAGACCTTTTCAAGAATATTATTATTGATTTAAAGGCTGACTCTTACATAGAATATTTAAGTTCTTGGGGACAAATACATTGCCAGAATGGCCCTATCCTGTTCTTTAATGTTGCTTAAACATTTTGTTGTAGGCCACTCTTGAGTCAATTTTTACTCAAGTGACTTGTGTGACACTGTCCAATTTGCTAATCAGAAATCTTTACAAGAGCAAATCTTCAGGCCTTTGTCCATGGAGCTAGTGGGTGAGATAAAACTACCAAAATTTCAGTTAGCAAACGAAAGTTCAGTTTTGCACCATCAAAGTGCTGTAAACTGTTTTCCTATATATTATTTCACGTGTTTCATATATGTATATGTGTATGTATGTATGTATATACACACAGAGCACTTTGGTATATATTTCTTATATTTAGTTCCTGAAAACAGCTCCTTGTAAGCTGTTTTCCTTTTCAAAGGATCATTTATAAATGCTAAAAAAGTAAATTACATTTTAAAGCTCAAAATCACAAATGTAGAGTAATATTAAATTATACCCTTACATGTCACACGTAGTCATACTTTTCTTTTTAGATGTACATCCACAACTTCTTATACACAGTAAGTATTGATATGCAGTGTATATTGGCATAATCAGATCTTTAATAGACCTTTTAAAGGAAGCATTGATGTTTCATAATCAGATGTATCGTGTGTGCAACATATTTCATATTTCAGTTTTATGTGACATTTCACTGTTTGTTTTGTTTGTAATTGCAAATTTCATTATGCTTTATTCTATTTATTGTATACAACTAATACATCCAAACAAAAAGCATAAGAAGTATCATAAATACTAAATATTTAAAATGTCATTTCAATAACAGCAAATGTTAATTGATTAAATACTTAGTTGAAAGTAGCTTGCATTTTTTTTTCCAGGGGAAAAGCTCTGTCCCTCACTGTATTTCCATTTTATTAAAAATGAAATTCAGCGATCTCATTATAAATGCCTTTCTAATAATATTGCCTGAATTTTCATATTTTAAAAAATTAACTGTACCAATAAATGAAAGGGTATATAAATGAGAAAAAAAGTGACAATGATGGATAAAGGTAATTTTTATGAGGAAATAATTGTATATATTTCTTAAAATATTATATACTATTTCCTTACACATTACACTAAAAATATTAACTTTTCAGCAAGACAGTTTCAAGTTTAAATGTGTCTAACTGTCTATGTTCGGATGGGATTTCATGTAGGGACATCTGTTATTCAAGTGACTGCAACAGATGCAGATGATGCCAACTATGGAAATAGTGCCAAAGTGGTGTACAGCATATTGCAAGGACAGCCATATTTCTCAGTGGACCCAGAATCAGGTAAAAGCATTCTAGACTTTGCCTGCAGCATAACTGCATGCACAATTAGCTTGTGAATTCTGTATTTTAACATTTAACCTTCCAGGATAATTTGTTACCTAGACATGTTTTGTTGAAATAGAAGCAAAACCTCTATTATTTAAAGATATTAGTTTATTTTTAGCATGTTCCTTATTAAGTTTAAATTCAAAATACTATACTAGAAATTTCAAAGCACTTTATTCATCACTTTTTATGACATAGAAAATACTTGAAGCATAGTATGTAATGTTATCTACATTATACCTGCTATTTACCTAAAATATTTTTATTAGAGATTATCCTTTGTATAAACAGTGACTAAAGTAATTCAACATTTCTCTGAAATATAGAGTTCTGTGACTTCTAAGAATCAATACTATATTTGTTATGAGTTGAAAACTCCGCCAATATTTATCTATTTGTTATGATCAAATTTTGTAATATGAATCATATGTAGCTTAAAAAAATTCAAGGAATAAATAGCAAAACATCCGCCATGGTTTGTTTTTTGTTTTTCTCTCCAAAAGGCATAATAAAAACTGCATTACCAGACATGAGTAGAGAAAAGAGAGAGCAGTACCAGGTGGTTATACAGGCCAAAGACATGGGGGGCCAGATGGGAGGCCTCTCGGGAACCACCGTAGTGAACATTACGCTGACAGACGTCAACAACAACCCTCCCCGATTCCCTCAAAGTAAGCTGGTTTTAGTGATTTCTTACTGGAAAACTTCTTAAATGTTAACAACATACCTTATATTTAATTAGGAACTGTAGTCTTGTCTTCAATAGAAATCATAAAGGCAGATGTATAAAACTAAAATAACTTTTTTGTTTTTGTTGAGTGCCGTCAAGTTGAGCAGTACTCATAGTGACCTTATGAACAAAAGGCCTGAAGCTTTTCTATAACTATCGACATTTATCAAAGTTCATAGAGTTTCCAGAGGCGTGTTGTTTAGGAAGTGGATGCTACTCCTGCTTCCAAAAGATTTTATTTCTCAAAAATTTAAAATATTGTTGCCTTTAAAGAACTACGGAGTTTGGTTTACATCGCACCGTCCTTGTTATCTGCCACACTCATGACCACTCATCTTTGTGGACCCTGTGGACCCTCATCCTGTTGTAGCCCCGATGGTCACTCATCTTCTTGTACGTCTTCCTCTTTCTCACTGACCCTATACTTCTCCCAGGATGATATCATTTTTTCCAAGGATCCTTGCTTCCTGACAACATGTCCAAAGTATGTAAGACAAAGTTTTCTTTTTCTTTGCCTGTAAGGAACAAAGTTGAAAGTTGTCATTGTTATGCGTTATCCAGTCAACTACAACTCATAGCAACCCTAGGAACAATAAACCCGAATCTTGCCCTAGCCTGTGCCACCCACATGACCTCAAATACACTCCTTTATTATAGTCAGTTCATCTATTTTTCTTGGGAAGTGATGATGAATTTGTACATTTGTACATTTTTTAGTAGGTTGTTATTAGATGAACTTTAGTTAACTCTGACTCAAAGTGAATCCACATAAAACAGAAGAAACCCCAGGCAACTCTTTCCATCCTCACAGTATCTCCAGAATTTAACCACTCATTGCAGTCATTGTTAACTTATCTCATTGTGTGTCTTCTCTTTCAATGTTCACCCACCTTTAAGTAGATAATACAGAAGAAAAAAAATAGGCTTGTAAAGTGTTTTGGGGTTTTTGGTTGGTTTTTTTGGTGTGTTTTTTTTTTTTTCAACATTAGTTGTTTTCTCTTTGCTTTTAGGAGTTAAAGAGTTTTCAGAAAATGTTTTCATAGTCCTCCTACGGTTATCTTTTCTTACTTTCTCTTCCCTGGTTGGGAGAACAGGCTTTGAAGATCTAATAGCTAGATTCAAATATATGCCTGACATTTGCCTTATTTCAGTAATCTGTGCTGTACATCATTGAGTCTAATACAAAGATGACTGATGGTGTTTTAGAATCTCTAATAAGATAGTACATTAAAATCAATGCTAATAACTTTTATTTATTTTGTACTTTTTATCATGATTACAATGGAAGTTTACAGGGCAAATTGGTTTTCCTTTGGAAAGTTCATATAAATTTTGTTTCTTGATATTCATTCCATTCAATGTAACTCCACTCTTTTCACTTCCTTTCTGTATTTACAATACCTTTTAATCCATTTCTATCCTCTCATTCTGAGCTTTACCTCTGAGATAGTGCTGCCTTTTTGCTTCTATATGATTGATTATTTAAAGCTCATACACTCTTGGTGTCAGCTGGGGTATCAGCTTTGAGTCAGTCTTGACTCAATAACAATGATTTGGAGTTTGAACTTGATTCCTCACATACAGTAGTGTAATAAAAAACACATATTTTCATAAATAATCTTAGTTAAAACATGCAGTGTCATATTTTAAAGAGTCAGGTAAATACTTTGGCTTCTAGTTCTATTAACTCCATTGATTTAGATTATTATGCAAATTATACTATCTAACTCTAGTGGCCTAGTGGTAAGAAGCTGGACTGCAGTTTCGAAGACGTGGTTCTAACCCACCAGTTGTTCTATTGGAGAAGGATAGGCAATATCCTCCGGTGAGATTAACAGGGTCTAAAAATCTGTGGGAAGATCTGCTATAGGTCAGTTCTAACTTGTCAGTGCATGAAAATAATAGTTTCTAAATAAGTTTGGCACTTTTGCTTTCTCTTTCTGTAAGTTGTATTTCATCCTTTATTTTACTAACATAATAATACTCTAATGTTTGATAGTACATAATTATATTTTATCAGTATAAATTATAGTTCAGTGTGATGAAAAGTTGTTCTCATTTTAAATACAATTATTTCAGTTATAAATTCAGAAAGAAGGGAGAATTTTTTTGTATTTTAAAATTGGAAAAACTAATCAACTCTGATTTCACTTACAGGTACCTATCACTTTAGTTCTCCTGAGTCTGTACCTCTGGGAACTCCTCTGGGAAGAATAAAAGCCAATGACCCCGATGTGGGGGAAAATGCTGAGATGCAGTACAATATTGGTGAAGGAGATGGCGCTGACATGTTTGATGTCATCACTGACCAGGATACACAGGAAGCCATTATAACTGTCAAACAGGTTTCTTTTCACTGTCTTTCATTTTATTCTTTAAAACCCAGTAGTTGATTTCAGCTGAAAGGTGAAAAGCCTAGGCAGTCTTTTTTGACCATTATAAATGATCTATCCTTCACATATGTGGGGATGGTTGGTGTGAAATCAATACAGCTGAATCTGGCATCTTAGACATTTACAAATGTAGCCTGAAACCTCAACACCATGAAGATGTTGTTATGTGCCAATAAGCTGCTTGCCACACATCGAGACCTTATGTACAACAGAACCCTGCTCTATCTTGATTCAACCTTAGAGTCTCTGACACACCTACTCCCATTACTCTGGTTCCTGAGTCCAGGATCATCTCATCCAAGGTCTTCCCATCTTGCATAGTCCCTCCACTCTTCCAAGCATGACGTCCCTCTCCAAGCACTCCTTGCAACTTGCCCAAAGTATGTCAGAGGAAGCTTCAAAATCCTTGCCTCCAAGGAGCAGCCTGGTTTCATGCTATCCAGAACAAACCTGTTTGACTCCTAGCAGTTCATGATATATTCAATGATTTTCCCCAGCACCACAATTCAAAGGCATCAATTATTCTTCTGTCATCTGTAGTCATTGTCCAGGTCTTTGATGCATAGCAAGCAATTGCAGAGGCCATGGCCTGGATCAAGTACACCTTAGTCTCCGGACTGGTATTGTTGTTCTTCAGTACTCTCGAGAGGTGTCTGACAACAGACTTTCTCAATGAAATTTGTCTTCTGATTTTCTGCTGGTGCCAAGAGTGTTACTTGTGTAGCTGTTAACAATATCTAAGTCTTCACTCTACCTCAGGATGCTGCCAATTAGGAGAGTAGTGAGAATCTTTTCCTTGATGCTGAGCTTCAATCTATATTGAAGACTGCAGTCCTTGACCTTCTACAAGAAATGCCTCAGATTCTCCTTAGTTTCAGCAAGCAAGATTGTGTCATCAGTATAACGCAGGTTGTTGATAAGTCTTTCTCCAATCCTGATACCACATTCTTCCTCATAGAATCCAGCCTCTGAATGATCTGTCCTCCACATAGATTGGAAAGGTATGGATTCACCCCTGGCATACACCTTGCTTGATTTTGAATCACGCCTTGTTTCTTTGCTCTGTTCTGACGACTGCTTCCTGGCTCAAATATAGATAGCAGATAGCAATCAAAGACCTAAACTCCACTATAGAAGAAAATATATTCTGAAAAATCATAGCAGTTGCAAAATGTCAAGAAAAGTAGTTTTATTTACCATACAATGTGAAAATAAAAGCACAGAAATAACAAAAAAAGGGAAAAGAAACCACATTGCTTAGCTAATCCTTAGTTAATAACTACAGTATTTTTTGGTGCTATAGTATTTTTGCAAGGTATATAAAAGTTAGATAAGGTTTTGTCTTTCCATAAATATGCTTAAATTTGGAGCTTGCATACGTTGCCTATGAAATTTTCTTTGAGGTCTGGTGGCCTAGTGGCAAGAAGTTGCGCTACAATCCCAAACTCCAGGTCACCACCAGCTGCTCTGCAGGAGAAGGCTGGGCAGTCTCCTCCCATGCAATTAACTGCCTCTGAAAACTGGCCTGAGCGTCTGCTACAACAACATCAGGTGATAAAAGAGTAACTTACCAATTTACAAGACATTTGCAAATATCAAAAGTTAAGTAAAACCAAAGGGACAAAATTGCTGGAAGTTGCCTTTGTTAATTCTACAGGTTAGTGAGAGACAGAAAAGAATAATCCAGCTAAAAGATGGTTAGGGGGATGGGTAGGTTGCTGTAATGCTAATAGAAAAGGCCCTCATTTAAATTTCCTTTGTTCTAAGCTTCAAGCTTCTACTTTTTCAAAAGCTAAAACTTTAGCATTTGAATGACTGACATGTGAATAATAAAGGTATTTTCTTAATGGCATAGATATAAGAAGCTCAGGAAATAGAAAAAAATGAAATACTGTCTAAGGTTAAAATTTGAAATCACGAAAACTCTATATGCTGACAAGAAGTAATTTCTGCAAAGTATATACAATCCATACTTAAAGGTATTTGCTTATATTTCCTTGTAGAAGAAATACTAGTTATGCTGCAATTTCTACTGTTCTTTCATACACTTTTAAACACTTTAATCTTCTGTTTGAGAGTCTTTTTTAAAAGACCAAACAAGATGTCATTTGCATTGTATTCTTTTTTCTATTTTTTGTTTTTGATTTTCTTTTTTTTTTTTTTTTTAGTGTTTGTAGGATAGCATACTAAAACCCAACATAGACTTTCCAACACAATACTCATTCGCTCATATTGTTAGGATTTCTGTAATTTCATGTCATCTCTTAGTTTTCATAATTCTATAGATTAATGAAAATCAAATAATTTTATCCATTATAATATAACAATTTAAAAATGGAGGCCTTACAAAAGGAATTTGAACGGTCTTCTAATTCTCTTTAATTTTTCCCTAATTTGTATCTGATTCTAACTTTGATAAAAATTCTCATTAAGTATTGTTTGTTTTTAGAGATTTAGTATATCTTTTCCCTCAAAACAAAAACAAAACAAAAAATAATGATTCTATTTTGAATGAAGAGTAATCTTTAGAGACAAAGATGTGAAGCTTCCTCTTGGGCATATTTTCAGAAAGAACCAGTTCTTGAAGAGATACATCGTATGATAAAAGGGAGAGAGTCAGTGAAACATAAGAAGACCTTTAATAGGACGAATTGAGCTAGTGACTACCACAATTGGCTTGGTCATGAGGATAGTATAGGAGAGATCAAGGATCTGTTATTCATAAAATCACTATGAGTTACAGTCAACTTAAAGGCACCTAAAACAGCCTAAGAAATTATTTATCTATATTGGATATAATGAAAGTGTTAGATGGATCTTAGCTAAAAGCGGGGAATGCCAGAGGAATGTATATCTGTGTTTCATTGACTAAGCAAAAGCGTTGACTCTGTGGATCATAACAAACTGTGGCTGACTCTGAGAAGAATGGGAATCCCAGAACACTTGATAATGCTAATGAGAAACCTATACTTGAACCAAGAGGCAGTTGTCAGAATAGAGAAAGGAAACACTGCATGGTTCAAAATTAGGAAGGGCTTATGCTAGGCATGTGTCCTGTCTCCATACCTTTTCAACCTGTATGCAGGAGAGATTATGCGGGAGGTTCAGCTCTATGAGGAGAAATGTGGGATCAAGATTGGTGGAGGAAGATCTATCAACAATCTGAGATATGCAGAGGACACAACCCTGCTTGCTGAAACTGAGGAGGACCTGAAGCGCTTGCTACAGAGTGTCAAGGACTGCAGCCTCCAATATAGTTTGAGGCTCAGTGTCAAGAAGACAAAGATTCTCACCACTTGGCCAATTGGCAGCATCAAGGTGGATGGTGAAGAGATTGAGATTGTTCACAGCTTTAGTTTGCTTGTCTCCACAGTCAACACTCTAGGCACCAGTAGCCAGGAAATTAAAAGATGTACAATCAATTGTTATGCATCAGAGAACTGGACAATGACTAAGGAGGATAGAAGGAAAATTGATACCTTTGAGCTTTGGTGCTGGAGAAGAGCATTGAGGGTACCATGGACTGCTGGGAAAACAAACAGATTCATCCTGGAAAGGGTTAAACTGGGTGGCTCCTTGGAGGCAAGGATTCTGAGGCTCCGTCTAACATACTTTGGACATACTATAAGGAGGGACCGGTCCCTGGAGAGGGACATCATGCTTGGTAGGGTGGAGGGGCAGAGCAGGAGGGGAAGGCCCTCTATGTGGTGGATTGATTCAGTGACTGGGGCAATTGGGATGGGTGTATCAAAGATGGTGCGACTGGCACAGGACAGAGTGGAGTTTGTGGCTATTGTACATAGGGTCACTGTGAGTTGCAAGTGACTCGACAGCACATAACAACAGCAACAACAACATTGCCATGGTAAAGTCTGCTGTTCGGGACTTCTCCAAAGTAATGAAGAGCAATGGTGTCTCTCTGGAGACTAAGGTGCATCTGATACAGGCCATGGTCTTTGCAATCACTTGTTACACATCAGAGAGTTGGACAATGACTAAAGAGGATAGAAGGAGAATTGATGCTTTTGAGCTGTGGTGCTGGAGAAGAGTATTGAGGGTACCATGGACTGCTAGGAAAACAAATAGTTTCATCCCGGAAAGGTTTAAATTCAGTGGCTCCTTAAAGGCAAGGATTCTGAGGCTCCTTCTAACATACTTTGGACATGTTATAAGGAGGGACCAGTCCTTGGAGAGGGACATCATGCTTGGTAGGGTGGAAGGACAGCACAGGAGGAGAAGACCCTCTATGAGGTGGATTGATTCAGTGATTGGGGTAATTGGGATGGGTGTATCAGAGACGGTGTGATTGGCACAGGACAGAGCAGAGTTTAGGGCTGTTGTACATAGGGTCACCATGAGTCGCAAGTGACTTGACGGCACATAAAAACAACAACATAGGATACAATATTGGATAAATTTATAGAATCAGTAGATAATTCTTGATTTACTACTCACCATATAAAAACTGAAGAATATTACCAAGTGAGACTGAACCTTAATGTATATGCTAATATATTTAGCTAACTCCCTATAAATAATGATAAGTCAAAAATTGTCTGCTAATTTGTTTACCATGTTAAAAAAGCAAGCATTAATAAAGGTGTTCAATCATAATTGTTATTGCCAAGGGAGATAGGTTTTAATTTTTTAAATTTTATGGCATTGACATATTAAACATTATGTTAATTTTTATTATTTAATGAACTCCAGAATTTAGATTTTGAAAAGAAAATGTTGTATACTTTAAGAGTGGATGCAAGTAACACTCATCCTGATCCAAGATTCTTGCACTTGGGACCTTTCAAAGACACAGCGATGGTCAAAATATCTGTGGAAGACGTAGATGAACCTCCAGTGTTCAGCAAAAGATCTTACTTGATAGAAGTAGATGAAGATGTAAAGGAAGGTAGCATCATTGGCCAGGTGACTGCGTATGATCCAGATGCCATGAACAATTTAATAAAGTAAGTATTTCAAGAAAACTTACCACTTTCAGAAGAAAAGTAATATTTCTCACTTATTTATAAAGTATGTGAAAACAAACAAAGTAGTTGCAATTTATGATCAAGCATGAAAATAATACGAACACTTTTCATTTCCATAGCAAAACCTGTGGAACTGTCTCTTAAGGGTTTTGAATGCATTGTTCTGTTTGATTATTACTCTACGCAGTAGTAGATTCAACTATTATTCTTTCTGCAGGTGATAAGACTATAGTAATAGTATTTTAATCACTTAACCAGTGGTAATGTCATATTTTAACACCAGACACGTTTACTTCAAAAGATGCCATTTTAGTCCCTTTCCTTTGATAAATTCACATTGCATTTTCCCTCCTGCTTAAAACATAGTTCAGATAAAGCACGATCTAAACAATTAATTTTTTTTTTAAATCAGAAATAGTGGTAGAACATTATTGTGCTTTTCTAATCTCCTGGCAAAAGAGACTGTTGCTTCTAGAGACAGTTAGGCTTAAATTCAGCTTCTTCATCTGATGCCAGACTTACCTTCATCTTCTGTTGCTTCAGCTGCATAGAGACCAATTGTAAGGCCTTAAATCACTGCCTGCTAGTTTTGAAGAGAATTGTGATCAAATAAAGAACAAGAAGGAAGAATAGAATTGTCGAGAAACAATGTTGTTACATGTAGCTGAGACTCTGTGAAGCAGATAAAAACAATGATTGGTACAGTTCCATCTACACAATCTTTTCTTTGCTTAAGTTCATCATTGTAGTCACTGAGTCCACCAGTCTTGTTGAGGGTCTTTCTCTCCTGCTCTTAACCTCCACTTTTCCAAGCATGACGTCTTCTTCAAAAGAATGGTCCTTCTTGACAATATGCACACAGTATGAGAGATGAGGTCTCATTATCCTTGCATCTAAGTGGCACATGGGTTATACTTCTTTCAAGACAGATTGGTTGTGCTTTTGGCATTTCAAGGAATATTCAATATTATTTGCCAACACCACAATTCAAAGATAACAATATTCTAGAATTTTCCTTAGTCACTGTATAATTTTCATAGGCATATGAAGCAATTGAAAATATCTTGGCCAGCATGAGTCTGGTCCTTAGTCCTTAATCCGATCACTTGATCTTTAGCTGTTTAAAGAGACCCTTGAAAACAGGTATCCCTAATACAACATGTCTTGATTTCTTCATTGCTGCTTCCATAGATATTGATTGTGCAAGTAAAATTAAATTATTGACATCTTTATTATTTTCTTCATTGACCATAATAGCTACTGTTCCAGCTGAGAAACAGTATTAGGTCAACTAATTACGACGTCCCTTAAAATCAAGACATTCAAGTTCCCAACCAATTTAACCAACCTTGTGAGGTACTTGATTATGCATAAGTTATAACAGCTGAGGGTTTTGTTTGTGTTTTTTTTTATATAAGTGACACAACATTTGCTGATTTGACATATGTTTACAGCTTTTCATTATTATATGTCATCAAGTTAGAACTAATTCATAGATGACCTTCTAGTGAGTTTTCAGAGACTGTAATTGGTTCAGGAGAACATTGTCCATCTTTCACTCTTAGAAAAGCTAGTAGATTTTAATTGAGTGTTTTGCGTTGACAGAGAAATTTCTTATCCACTACATCACCAGATCTCCATATGCAATTTATCAGTATCAGTTGTATTAACCAGTTGCACAACCATTAGATGTGTTGTTAGATGCCATTTAGCTAGTAACAACTCATAAAAAAAAAAACAAAACAACCCCCAAAAAACAACTCTTAGCCATAAAGTGGGAACTGACCCATAGCTTATCTTCTAGCCAGTTTTGAAGCAGTAATCTACATGGGATGAGATTGTCTATCTCCTCTTACAGAACAACTGGTGGATTTGAACTGCCTACTTTTGGATTGGTAGAGGAACACCTTACCTATTAGATTAACAGAGCTCTTAAAGTAACTTCATATAGAACAGAACAACACATTGCCTGTTCCTGTCCCATCTTTATAATCTCTACTGTCCTTACTCATACTGTTGTAGTCATTGTGTGAATCCATTTCCTTCAGGATTATAATATCTTTTGCTGACCTTATACTTTTCCAAGTATAATGTCTTTTTCCTAGGACTATCTCCTTATGATAACTTTGTAGAATATTTATAAGATGATGTTTCACCATCCTTTCCTAAAGGGGTGTCTGGTTGCAATATTTCCAAGACAGATTTTTTTTTCTTGTTTTGGCAGTTTATGATATACTCAGTATTCTTCACTACAATAAAGATATATTAGGGGAGCTCTGGTTGCCTAGGGGCAAGAAGTTGCAACTACAATCCCAGAGGTGCACGGTTCGAATCCACCAGATGCTCTGCCGGGGAAGGAGGGGCAATCTCCTCCTGTACCAGTCAGATCTGATTTGACAGTACACGCACACAAAAATAATAAAATAAAATTTAAAAAAAATTAAAAAATAAAAAGATATATTAGTTCTTCTTCAGTCTTCTTTAGTCAGCATAAAGGTTTTGCTCTCTATGGAGCAATTGAGAGTGCCATGACTTGAGGAAGGTGCAACTTAGTCTTCAAAGTAAAATTTTGGTTTTAGCATTTAAAGAGATTATTGACAGAAGGCTTTCCCAAAGAAAGATATGGTTGTTTATTGCCAAGTTGCTTTTCGCCAAGGGATTTTTTTTTTAATTTATACTGGTTTATTCACAGTTTGAGTACATTGTTTTTCACACTGGATCCTTCTCATTTCCTTCACACATACCCTCATCAAATTGTACAACCCCACGTCTAACTCCACCTTCCAGCTTATCCTCATCCTTCTGCTTTCTGCCTCCCTTGGATCCTCATACTCATTCTACACTAATGAGTTCATACAGTATTTGTTCTTATAGGACTGAGCTAGTTCACTCAGCACAATGCTCTCCATTTCCTCCCAAGTTAGGTGGCGATAGTTGTTGATTGCTTTCGAGTCGAACATAACTCATAGAGATCCTTTGAATAAGAAGCCTAAACCCCTCTACAATTATCAACATTTATCAAAGTTCATAGATTTTCTGGAGACAGGTTGTTTGGGAAGTGAATGCCACTACTCTTAGGTACTGCATTGTAACCCGTTGTGTGAATGTACCATAATTTCTCAATCCATTCTATTGTAGTTGGACAATCTGGGCTCTTTGACTACAGCTTCCATAGGTATTCACTGTGGATCCAAAAAAAATGAAATCATTAACAACTTCAGCGTTTTATATATAATGTTAGTATAAAGTTTTCGGCTGTTACAGTTATGAAGATGTTTTGTTGTGGGTTTTTTTTTCCATGAGGTATTATCTCTCCTGAAGATTGGAGTCTTTGATATTTTTAAATAGATATTAAAATTATTTCACTTCAGACAGTAAGGTTACATAAGGCAAGTGATTGATAACTTTTTATCCAGTCCTGACACCACATTCTTCTCTTAGTTTCTCTGAATATTTGTTAAGTGTACAGATTATGTAGTTATGATGAAAGGAAAAAAAACCAAAAACTACAAACACTGACAGTTTTTCCCACTGTAAACCATGATAGATATTTGGTTCATGCACTGGTTCTACATGAATTGTTGAGTTTTCTGGATTTTCTATTCTTCTCCAAATACCATGATTTATTAGAATCCTCACAATCAAATCCTTTGTATCATCAATGAAATACACACAATAAAAATGCCTTTGCTTAGTCTATAAAAGTGCATCTCTTTCTTGCATTTTCTGCTTTTAGCTAAGATTTATCAGAGATCAACACATGATATTTTTCATTATTTTTTTCTGAATCTATTTTGGATTTCTAACTGAATCCAGCTTAGATTTCTAGTTGATCCATTGTTTGCATACTATTCTAGTTGCTTGTTTTTCTTAATAATCTTCAACAGTGTTTTACTTGTATGTGATATTAAAGAACTTTTGCTAATTACACATTATATTAACATTACGCTTTTTTTGTAATGGACACAAATATGGATCTCTTCTAGTTGTTTTGTCAAGTAGCAGTCTCCCAAGTTTCTCAGTTTAGACAAACAAGCATGCCCAGGACTGCATCTTTGTGTTGAAATACCTCAATTAGTATATCATCAAACCAAAAGCCTTTTTCCCAGTGCTTTCAATACAGCATGAAATTCTTTCTTCAGTACCTTTGATTCTTGTTTTTATGTTGCTTCCTGAAATTTTCTGTACTAATCAATTATTTTTGGTTCAGTGACATTCTGTATTTTTTTCTTGTTCTTTTATTGTTTCTGGAGTTATTCAATATTTTCCCAAGAGAATCCTTCCGTGTGACAACTAGAGGCTTGAGTTTCTTCTTCAGTTATTTCTAAATGAGGTTGCTGAACATATTCTTGCCTTTGGTTTTCTAAATTCAGATCTTTGCACATTTCTTTAAAATGCTGTGATTTTCTCCTTGAGTTGCAATTTGAATTCTTCTACTCAGCTCTCCTTCTTCATTATTTCTTAATTATTTCATAATCTGCTTCTGGTGTAATTTACTAGCTCTAGAAACTGAGTTGAGGGTCAGTTCTCAATCGATTCTAACTCATGAGTATGTAACTACAACATGTTGAAGAGAATATTTACTACTATTTACTGACATCTATTTTGATCCTTCCTCAATGATTTTTTTGTTTCCTTCTTGTTTGATTTACTTAATATCACCCTACAACTTCTTTAGTCTTCAAGTATTAATATTAATTGCATCAATTATATTATTGAGTTAGTTTTTTTTTTTTGTTGTTGTAGTTATATGCCATCAAGTTGGGACTGACTCAAAGCTGACCTTTCACCAGATTCTCAGAGACAATAAATCACATGGGAGGAGATGTCTCATATTTCTTCTGTGGAACAGCTAGTGGATTTGAACCACCTGCTTTCAGGATAGCAGTTCAGCTCTTTACCATTAGGCCACCACAGTTCTTTTACAAGTTTGCACAAATTCAGCGTGATTTTTGGCTCTCCTGGATGTGATTTCATTA